CCCCACAATGCTTATATTTCGCTGACCAGAATGATGCTAAGTGCTGTGATTCAAGTACTGAGTTCCTTTCTGTCCCCACCATTCTGGGGAAAAAATTGTACCAATGTCTTAAATGCAGGGATTTTATCAAATTTCTATAGTGGCAGCACATGTAGGAGGCGCACACTCTTTAACTGGAGAGAGGACAATTTGAAAGTGTATCATCTGTACGTACTGGTTGAGTGTGCCTTTCAGCTTCATTCCTGCAGTAATATGTAATTAGCTTGATAGTGCCCTGAGAGAACAGGTGCTCTGTGTGCACTTTCTAGCTCTCTCCATGATGGTTGGGACAGGTTACCTGTGGGACACAGGCCTACTGACGGCCAGCCCACTGAATAAGGCTGTTCCACTGAAACAAAACGTAGGGATTCCTGCAGAGAGAGAGACTGAGTGGAGTAGCATCGTGGACAGTGGGTAATTGGAGGATCATGGAAAAACAGTGTGTTGGTCTGTTTCCCAACCATGGGAGAACCGTCTTCATTATTTTCCATGAGTAATGTTTCTAGGAGCCAAGGGCCTTCCTTGAAGGATGTCATTAAAGAACAATCTTCGCCTACCAGCTAGTGAATATTTCTTTCCTTTGACTTTCTTCAGTAGCCTTTTCCAGAAAAATGTGCACTACCATATGAATGTATGATTTCCAACCCTCTGACAGGCTTGAACTATTGTCATTGAATTTCCTGGATTGTCTACCTTTAAGTCCCTTCTAATCTCAAATCATCTAAGACTTTACTACCTTGCCAGAAACGAAATTTCGTTTTGTGACTTCCCCAAACCCATTCTTTCTTTATGCAACTGAGTAACTAAGTCTGATAAGAGCTATTGTTTGTTTAGCATATTCACACGCAATTATTACGTTTAATCCTGAAAATAACCCTAGTAGGAGGGTACAGGTAAGGACATTTGGATTAGGGTGTTAAATAACGTGTCCCCAGTTCCCCTGGTAAAGTAGTGGTAGAAACTAAGACCTGGATTCAGGTTTCTTCATGCGAATTCTCCTGTTCTTTCTACCAAGGTATGTGACTTCTGCATTTCAACACTTTTTAAGCCCTACGTTTATCATCTGTTCTAGACATACTAGATTATCCCTCCTTGACTAGTACTTGCCAGACTTAGTTAAGAAAACATGCATGGTGCATATTCTTAGATGGTGGTCTGCTCAAAAGCAACTACTGTGCCTAACGCCTTTCCTGTTGTCTGTCACTGGGGGTCGACAGTGGGGAGATGAACCTATTGTTCTCCAATGACTTTGCTTTTCCTCCATTCTCATAGCATGGGAAGCATGGATCCTTATGGGTTGAAGAGTTGTTGAGATTACACAGAGCCCGGATCACCGATGTTGAACACATCACTGGACTTAGCTTCTATCAAGAAAGGAAAGAGCCCGTTTCAGACCTCTTGAAGTTGAAAACATATTTGCCAACTTTCAGCCAAGAAGACTGATTTCCTTTCCATTTTTTTTTATTGTAAAAAACACACCATAATTCCTTTGAAAAGGACCTTATATGTTATACAATCATCGTTGCATACTATTACATGGTTTGGAAACTGTCCACCAGTTGTAGAACCGGGAACCCTCTGTGCTATGGACATCTCAGGGAAACTTCTGGACTCGGCCCAGCAGTAAGAGAGGTTCCTGTTGAGTCTCGCACAGATTGGAATGTTTAAGAATTGTGTGCCTGGTTCAAGTTTTCTGGAATAAAGACCGATCATACCTGAAACGGCTCTTCGACTTCTCCTCAAGGAAGGAGGTGTGCCCCGTGTCTGGACATAAGCTATTTTAATCTTCTTCTTAGTGAGCTTTTCTGGAGCAGGCGAACAGTAGACTAATGGATGGGCTGGAAAGAGCTTCTGTTACATTAGTATCTTCACAAGAATTTCAGAAAACAATTCTGCATTCCTTTGAACTTGGATTTATCTTTGATGTTTAGTGAGGACCTAATGGAAGCACATTTCTGAGGGCCTCTAGTTGTTTGTTTTTTTTCCCTTCTATGTATCACTTTCAGAGCCACGATAACTATAAATCTGGTGTTACGGTTTTGAGGGGGGATTGGGTGGTTCTGACAAGTTACATTTTGAGTGGTGATTTATGAATTTACTCTACTGGATATAGCATTGTATTCTACATGTGTACAAAACAACAACAAAAAGATTCCTATGCTGCTCGCTGGCAATTAATGTAGGGTTGGAGATAACTCAAACGTGATCATTGTTAACTATTAAACACACGTGTTATCTTGGAGACACTTCAGAGAATGTATCACCAGATACAAGGTGGCCTTTTTCATGGAGGTTTTAGGAACAGTGTCTTCTGTCGCTAAACATGACCCACCAGCCTCAGTGCTGTTCATTTTGAGGTTGAGCAGATTTGGAGAGCATGCATTACATCACATCTCTTGTTCATATGTCTTTAAAGCACTTGAAGACACCTGCTTGCCTCAAAACAACTGGCTGTTATGGTTGTTCTTGTTGTTAAGTGACATCAAATCAGATCCTACCCATAGCAACCCCATGCACAGCAGAACAAAACACTGCCCGGTCATGCTCTATCCTCGTAACCACTCCCATGAGCGAGCCCATCGCTGATACTGTTAGTTGCCCTCAAATCAGTTGCTAAAACATCTTCCAAATGTATTACCACGAGTCAATCCCAACTCATAATGAGCCTAAACAGGGTGCTCTGGTGTGCAACGCTGTCCATGTTTAGGAAAGCCGATGGTGACCTCACCTTCTCCCAGGGAGCTTTGTGGTTGTTGGCTGCTGTCAATTCTGTTCCACCTTGCAGTGCCCCTCGGAATGAAACACTACCCCGTCCTGCACCACCCTCTCACTTGTCATGTTTGAACCCAGGCTATCTGTTTTTGTTGACCTTCTATTTTACCGGGCATGATTGCCTTTCCAATGATTGGTCTCTCCTAATGATATGTCCAAAGTATGTGACGTCAGACAAAGTCTTGCTCTCCTTGCTTCTGAGGAGCATGCTGGCTCTACTTCCAAGACAAATGTGCTTGTTCTTTTGGCCACCTCTGATACTTCCCATATTCTTCACCAGCACCACAATTCAAATGCACCGATTCTGCTTTGGTCTTCCTTGTTCAATGTCCACTTTCATATGCACATGGATTGATTTTAAAATACCATAACGTGGTCCTCAAAATGCACCTTTGCTCTTCAACACTTTAAACAGGTCTTATGCGGGAGGTGTACCTAATGCCATATGTTGTTTGATTACTTAACTGCTACTTCCATGAACATTGAATATGGAGCCATGCAAGATTGAAATGCTTAACAACTTCAAACTTTTTCCCATTTATCTTGATGTTATCAATTGTTGCAGTTGTGAGGATTTTTATTTTCTCTCCATTGAGTTGTAATCCATACTGAAGGCTGCAATCCATGGAGTTAACAAAGATTAGCAAAATAATATCACTTCCCTGGTGCCATAGTTATGAATTGAACTATTAATTGAAATACAGCAGTTCTAAACCACCAACCACTCCATGAGGCAGTTCTACTCTGCCCTAAAGGGTCTCTGAGAGTCAGCATTGACTCAATGGCAGTGAGTTTTTTTTGTTATACACCAACGATGCAAGATGAGCAGGCTACACAATGCCTGCTAGTCAGCATCTTGGGGCAGGAAAGACAGCAGCAGAAATGGCAGTGATCCCTGGAGAGTGAAGAGGTCAGGATGGAGCTTGGGCAAGGGCCAGGGAATGCAGAGGAGAAGCTTGGCGCTTCTTGGCAGTAGCAACAGTAACTTGCAGAGGTGGTAGAGTTTCCATTATGACTTGAATTGAAGATTTATTGGGAAACAGATAGAAAATCTTTTTAGTATTTCTTGGATAGATAAACTTGTGACATTTTCCCATCTAGTGTTAGTTTTCATATTTTTCACCAATGTCACAGTGTTGAATTTACAACGCACAACTACTTTAGTTTCTTTGCTTTGTTAGAATAACTTCTTATTCTTCTTTTTTCCTGGATGACAATTGATTTTATTTGGGTTTTTTATTCTCTTTTTAAAAAGTTTTTTCTTTTTTAAAAATCGTTTTATTAGGGGCTCATATGACTCTTATCACAATCCATACATACTTCAATTGTATAAAGCACATTTGTACATTCATTGCCCTCATCATTCTCAAAACATTT